ACAGATCGTCGCTATTGATGTACTCGATCAGGATACAGTATGCTAAGGGTGTTACTCATATGATGCCTTCCGCAGCGGGGTCTAGAGAGGCCCTCAACAGAGCTCGAGCTCGGAGGTTGTCGGGGGACAGGTACGTATAGTGATGATGAAGTGTGAGGGGGTGTAGATGCATCATCTGTTAGGACGGCCGCGTGGTATGCTAATGTTCCGTCACCATATGTTACTCTGGCTAGAATACGTGCTGTAGAGACTTCGAGGCACTTCGTCAAGATGCGGTATAGGAGTGGGGATCATAGCGTTTCGGAAAAGTAAGTTTTGTGAGTAGTGTAGTGGCTTTTCAGTGTGTAAGGTTAGATATGTTCTTCCCGAAATTGCCGCGAAAAGTGTGCAGCAAGAGGCAGGACAGGAGATGCAGAGATCGCGGTTCCGATGTGATGCTCTGTTGAAGGATCTCGACCGTTGTAGAAAGGAACTAAAGAGGACCAAGGATCAATTCCATGTGAGGAGGATGTTATGTTGGCGTTTTACCCGTCCTTGTGAAAAACGCGATATGAAGTGAACTGAAAGCACTTACAGCAAATAATAGGGGAGAAATAACGACTTATTACGTGAAATATCACTCGTTTAACGCGTTATTCACTGGGGTGAAATGTGAAATATGTTCTCACCAGTGTTGTGTTTTGCATATCACGGCAACTCCATTTGGTCGGATGAAAGTTCAAGACAAAATGGTATGGCATTTATTGCTGTTCAGGACGCCTTGGTTGCCTCCCAGGACTTCAACTGGAATGCCAATAAGAAGTCCTACTTCGCCTCCTTTGAAAGTCTCTCTGGTTAGTTCGACTGTCTCAGGTTAGCGCATCGAGATGATAAAGGAGGACACGCGGCCACACAGAAGGGCAAAAGTACGGCTTTCGGCCCTGAGGAAATTGATAAGGTGCGCGCCGACCACTCAATGGAGTTCACATTTCACGGTTGACCGATTTTTGTGATATAATGATGAAATGACTATACGATAGAAAATTTTGCGTGGATTCAGAATATGTAATCGTTTTTGTTTTCTTACCGAGTGTAGTAGCCTGCAAAGTGATTATGTATTACAACTCTTTTCGTTGTAGCGAAAAAGTTAGAGAATTAACAAGTATGCATTCAATGGCCTGGCACGGGGAATCGATGCTCAGTTTGGCTTCAGCTTATTGGTATCCTGACGCAGTATATAGTCGTATCATTCTCTTATGCTGGTAGAAGTACTCAAATTTTATATACAATGGAGTTTCACCACCCTAGTGATATGAAAAACAACACTAGTAAGAAGCATATTTCACGACTACTGCATAGTGCAGATTTTGGGTTTTTCACCAAGTATTACGCCACTTCACGTAAAACGGGTCGTGAAACTCGAATGAATCACATGAAATTTGGTCGGCACTTAATCTTCTTGGGAGGCTACCCATTTGCAGGTACGCATCTTCATTGATCTGGCAGCAGAAGTATCACCACGAGAGAGGGCTCTGAGGGAGGCCGCGAAAATGTATAAAATCCCACTTTTTGATGCGGAAAATATATGGAAAAAATTCAAAAAAGTATGCGCCTTTTTTGTCGGCATCATGCGATGGTTGGGTATTTTAGATTTGCGCTGAAGGCTCATCTACGATGACTAAAAAGGAGTTCGAGATCCTTTTACTACAGCTTCTACGGGTAGGTTGAGGAGATCGGGCTTCTTGAGAAAACGTATAAAGTCTTGAATCGGGGCTTTCACTGCTGCGGTCCAGGTGAATGAATCGTCATCTGTTTTTGATCCACTTTTGTGAGTATAAACGTTTGTTGTTTCTATGGTCAGCTACACTACACTAGATTTGTGAGATAATGAGATGAATTATGCCTAAGAGAATTTTCGAAGACTACGAAAGACAATTCCGGCGGAGCATTATTAATAGTTATATTATATTCAATTAACGGCGGAATAAGACTTATCCGTTTTGTAACGCTATCTAGTTGACCTTGGAACTCTCGAAATCGATTTACTCGTGTTGTTGTTCAGGTGGCGGCCATTCGCCCTAGTAGGTTGGACGAATGGTGGCGTAGTTTGGATCGCCATAAAAAGGGTGAAGTTGGTTTTGTTGAGTTCCTCCGATATTATTGGACTCGCCTTCGTGGGGTCTAACATGTGAATGCTGCTCATTGCTGTCCTTCACCAGTGTCTGTTGTGTTCATTGAAGGCTCATAATGGGGAGTTTATGATACATGTCGTTACTTGGGTGAACTGTTGTGACCGCCGATGCATAGCCAATATCGCACTGCTGCTGATACATGCGTGTGATAGAGTAACTCGGGTTCTTTAGTGGAACGGTTAGTATATTAAACTACCTTGGCAATGGTTCCGGGTTCAAACCTGGGTAATGGTATAATGCATCGTATCATCACGTTAGGGCCAAGTTGTTTGCGAGCATGGTAGCCCCTTCACAGCCACCACCAGAGGTCCTCAGCGTGGAGCCCGTCGTCCCTCCACACGTATTAGAATCATTACTCAGCTACAAAAGCAAGGCCCTGATCAGCCGGGGTGAGTAGTAGTCGATACACCTTTGGCCACCTTTGGATCCTCCCTGCAGTGCCCTTATCCAAGGAGGCCCTAAGGAGGATATCTTTCGAGGCTGAGGCGTTGTCGGCTAAGCTGGCCAGTGAGGCTTTGGCCAGCAGTAGAAAACGAAGGGAGGCAACTATAGCTGATCACGACAGCGAGGTCAGGTCTTCTTGATGTCCATTGTCACTATGCTTCTGGTTTAGATGGTATCAGAGGTGGATGCCGCCGAGGAGGACGATTTAATGCGAGCTCTGGCAGGAGGAGAGAAGGAGGCTCTCTCTGGAGAGGTAGGAGTCCCACCGTCATAGTTTGGTTCCTAGGTTGGATCTTAGCAACGGGTGACCCTAGAGGACGTCATTGTTGCAGCCAAGGCCCTGGGCTTGGCCCTACCGTTGCGGGGTCGTGCTGGACCCTGAGCCGATCTTGATGGGACTGTTCTCTCAGACTGTTATCATTTACTATTACTATTGTGACAATTCATTGAAAATTTCAAACCCTCCATGCCTTGAGCTCTCTGTTCAGGCCAGTTGCCTCCTTCACCCGTTGTTGTCAGTCTCCTGTTGGGACCTCACCCCACAGTTCGCATGGCTCTACCACAATGTAAAGTAAATGCCATACGCGAGGGCCTCCTATGCAAGGTAGCAGACCAGACTCGAGTGTCGAGAGAAGCCGTCACAGTGTCAAGCTTGTGGGCGAGAAGTGAAGGCAATGCTAATGATCAAAGTTGATGAGAAACACGTTGGTAAATTGGAACTGTCGGAGTTGCAGAACGAGGCAGCCTTCGTTGATGGAGGCGTAGACTGGTGAACACGAAGCGTCTCCCCGCCGCTACTGTAGGTTTTGTATCGCACAATTTGCTGCTTTATTTTCAAGTCCGGTTTAGTAAGCGTACGATGCGTTTGCCAGTTGAGGCTTTCCTGATGGGACTTGACATTGTCAAGTCCCATCGTCAAGTTGACAACACAGGCAAAGCATGAAAGGCATGCCACGAAAGCCGAGGTCGGGTAAAACGCCGGTTATATACACGAAGTGACTACATAACTCGAAAAGAGTGCATTTCCATACCGTTATATTCCCTGAGAAAGGTGAACATACTTTTGTCATGATTTGATCGGTTTCACTGGTTGTTATAGTATGACTTGGAGATAGCTTTAGATTCATATCTGATACCATAACTTCGGTAATTTATAGGATACCACTCGAGAGACTACCCAATTCAACTCCAATCGGACCGAGCCGTTTTGAAACTTAACTCATCTGTTATCGATTGACATAATTGTGGCGACGACTCGACAAAGACGGTTCAACGAACTATGCCAGCAAAGTTCGCAGAGCGAAATCATCAGACGAATGATGATGACTAGATGATTCAGACACTTCAAGAGCTCCCTGTCACTCTATCGAGAAATGAAATCTCAAATGCAGCAAAACCACCAAGTACGATGTGAAACAGTGGAGCATACCCAACGCTAGTGATTGCATCGACAAATGCACGTTTCTCCCGAAAGTACCACACACTGGCACCACCAATCACAGCCACCAGCACAGTACTTGCGCAGACAATATTCATCGACCCTACGTAGGGCGGGAGATTGGTCAGCGTTGGTTAGTAGAGACCACCAGATGAGAGTAATCAGCAGAGTATATCCTCGAGCCATATAGGTGTCACAGTAAGTGGATAACTAGTTGACAAATAAGGCTCAACAAAGTCCCGCAGTGGTACATCAACAACTAACCTCATCAACCGATGTGAATCCAACTTGAAATTCAATTCATCTATCGACCATCTCACAGTAGAACGAAAGGCGAAAGCTCAGCTCACGAAGCTGAGCAACGATATGCCGAATATCTGTTTTGGGGTGATGCTCAATTTGACGCTCGTAACCGAAGGAGGCGAAGATCCTCTGCTGACGTTGAACGGTCTTCGCCTGATCTATTACGTAATCGATCGTGGCGCTGAGAGACAAGTGGCCACGGTGAGTCACCGTCGGTGACTTGAGGAATCAATGGAATGGTCTCTTGTCTGATGATAGGGAAGAGGCTCCAACGAGCAGTAACAGGTGAGTGGGTATCGCTGACTTGGCTAGGCCCGTGGGAGAGTCCTTCCCGTGTGAACTATTCTCCTGACCGGATAGGCTCACGATCACCACAATGAAGTGAGACAGTGTAGCGATGACGCCAAACCTTCGCTAGTCCCAAGTCAGAAAATCCGAGCTATGCACGCAAGGGCTGATTTTTCCATCCATGCTTTACTCAAATGAACCTACTCGGGAAGGTTGACTTTCTGGGTGCATTCTATGACACGTCTTCCTAAGCCCGTTTAAATGAATGAAGTACCAGCATAGAGAATGAGCCCCTGCTAAGACTAATGTGGGAGAAAGTTAGGGATAGAGTCCTAGGCTGGGCTCCTTGGCGACTTGAGCTATCATCATTCGGATTGAAAATCGTACTGATGATGGTGAATAGGACCCGAGACGTGGGTCCAAGTCCTCGGAGATACCTCCTGGGTCATGGATGCACTTTAATGCACTTTGTTCCGGTCTGTAGAAGACTACTTTTCCTCCTTGTGCCCTGACTTGGAAATAAGCACTTCTATTGGCCTCTGCAATCCAGGACCTGGGCACGGTTGCTGTCCATATTCAAGGCTTCAGCGGCGCTGATTCAGCGTAGGCTATTGCTGAAGAAGTCAACTTGACTTAGTCAAGAATGAACGTAGCGACAATTTCGGCAGTGGGTCAGCAGCTGACCAGCCAAGACGGAATGGTGTCAGCAGAGACCGTTCCGTCTTGGATGCGCGCCGATTCGTGCGGAAAACTAGCTCCCTTTCGAAGGTTGTCCTCGCCATTTCTCACTGTAAAGATCCGTATATATACTCGCTCGCCAAGAGTGAAACCGTTGCAGTGTAGAACATGGCATGTAATAAAACTAAGATTATACTTTGCATCCACACTCTTGTGGAATTGTGTTCTCATTCATCATGGCCGATGATCAGCACAAGGTAGCCGTCGGTAGACGTACGTTTTGGCCCCGTAAGTCCGGTTTTACTAAGCGTACGATGCGTTTGCCAGTTGAGGCTTTTCTGATGGGACTTGACAACACAGACAAAGCACGAGAGGCATGACACGGGGGTATATTAGGCATGATAAGTGCAGGACAGTTGGGCACACACGAGTTATATCAGTTCACGTCATTTAAAAGATAAGGAATACGTCGTTCTAGGGGAGCATATCATCAATCTTATCGCCATTCTCCAAGGCCTGCTCTAACTTAACCAACTTGGCGCATCCCTCAACCATGATGTTCACCAACTGCACTTCGCTCTTGCCGATCCTGTCCTCATTGGAGATATCGTAGATGCCCCCGACAGAGGCTGAATCGACCCCGGACCCTCCACGAGCCTGAAGGCCGAGCTTCTTGCAGAGCTCCTTGAAGTCGGGCCTGGCGGAGAGGAGGGGCACCTTCATCATAGCAGAGGCACGGAGACCCGTGCCCAAATTACTAGGGCAGGTTAGAATGAACCCCAGGTGGTCGCTGTGCATGAAGTCGTAACCTTCGCTCTTCAAGACGTCCTGTACACCATTGACGGCAACACAGAAGCGCTTGAAGATCCTCTTGATGTCAGCGCCCTTCTCCATAGAGATGATTCTCATATGGTCTTCTTCGTTCACCCAGACGAGGAAGTTCTTCTCGTTGTTGTGGAAAATGCCGCGGGCATCAGGCCAGTGGCGACCCATACCACTAGACAGGAGTAGAGTGGAATCGGGCTCCTGGAAGAGGAAGTGGTTCTCGCGCATATCTTCCTCTTGGTCTTTGGTCATGCCACCAGGCTTAGGCTCGTAGCTCTGGGAGCCATGCAGGGGAAAGTAGTCACCCTTGAGCTCCTCCTTGAGGTTCAGCAGACCCTTCACGATAATACGCTCGAGTTCACGTCTCTCCTCAAAAGTCACACTCGGGGGGAGACGTATTCCACGGACTGAACGACCGGTACGGACACGAGTCGAGATGACGTATCTGATAACCACTCAAACACCATAGACCGTTGTACTTGGCTCACTTCCCGGTGGGGTCGATAGGGGTATCCGAAACCTTGCTGAAATCGAGATCAGTGGTATGAGTTGCACTAGCGGGGAATCCACCGTGACGACGATCAATGACGGGGTCGAATCTGTGAGAAGAGAAGCCCTTGGCAAGGCGAGGGGTCGAGGCCTTACAGATCCTTGAAGACCTCGTAACTTTCCTCGTCACCAGCGACAAGGCCGACCGTCTTAATAGAGGGATGCCCCGGGTTGTCAACGCCGGTCTTGATGCACTTGCCGAGATTAACACCTGAAGGGAGGGAGAGTGCCCTACCTTGTAGACAAGGAGGACTTACCGTTCTTAGTGGTCTTTCCCTTCAGCTGGTCGTAGAGTTCTGGCTTTTCGCGCATCAACTCTGCCATGTAGCTGCTATGCTTGGACAGGTCGGGCAGCTTTTCGGGAAGCTGAGAACGAGAATTGAGATCAACATAAGTGGGCTAATGATGGCTCACATTATCAGGGTCGAATGTGGCCTTCTTCTCATCACACATATACTCCTTGTCACCAAGACCAAGCTTGATCCATTCAGGGAGGTGCTCTACAGTGGGAGCCAGGCCAGTGGGGGGATAGGACGCCATTCGCTGTGTAGGAAGAAGAAGAACAAAGCCTGAGAGGAACAAGTTGAGTAATTCCACAACATATTTAGTTCGGAATGCGCGAGACCAGTCAACGATGATGATGACTAGGAGAGGCAGTTATTATGAGACTTGAACAGTAGCTGAGACGTTTGAGACGGGACGGGCAACACGAGACTGATCTAAAGTCCACGCCCGAGTTCCACGGCGAGCGAACTGAATGCAACGACAGCGCTGATCTTACTCAGGAGTAGGGAGCAATCGATAGTGAGTTATGATGAATACCATCACTCCAAGGTGACGGTGGAAAAACTACACCACTGATTGAGCGGCCTGTAGTCTTCGTGAAGAAGACGGTAATAGACAGCAGGCTCATGACTGCAACAATACTCAATTGTGTTCATGAGTCAGCGCACTTCACACCGGAGAGTGTGTTAGCATTGAGTATAATATCACTACGGATATTGTGTTGCATTACGTTAGTCTGGTATAACACTGTGTGAAGTCACGAGTTGTAAAACCCCTCTGTCCGCGCATGGCTCAATCGCCGACATCGGCAGTGTGCATCATTTCATATCGATATTCGCATGGCATAGTACTATACTGAGGACTTTCTAACGCAAATACAATGGAGGTGTTGTGAGGCTCATGTTGAATGAATTACATCAAGTATACCAGGTAAATTAAATATAGCCATGTAACTGTCGACGGAGGCAACTCAAGTGTGACATAACATCATCATAGTCATAACGAGACCGCAGAATCACCGACGCGGGAGGACCAGCAGCTCGATACGGGGTCAACGGTGTTCTTAACCTGCAAAGACCAACTGAGGTCAGATCAGTGAGAGCCTTACATGTTGACACCCCTTGGGGTCTCGGGCGTGCGTGGTGTTGTTGGGCCGTTATAAGCCGACACGCTCTCATGAAGTGAGCCGACGTAGTCTCGCAATTTGGAACGCCCTCTATTGGAAGTCTAAAGCGCACACGTACCACACCTCGAGATAACTAGGGAACTGCAACCTGATGCTGTTGTTGTTGGTGTCGTAGCTTTTCGGATCGTCGATCAACTGCTCGTTTCCACTCCACATTCCTCTCATAAAACCTGCTGGCCTCGACAGTGGAATAGGGCATTCCTATCACCCTCGAATGAACTGATCTATGCACCAGATGTTGCCGGTCATCGAAATCCTGAATCGTCATGCACGCATGCACATAGGATTCACTCTGGCCTACTTTGGCTTCCTCCCTGCGCTGACGATTCGACTCGAGGTCCTTCTCTTTCACATCCTTCCATGCTTGTGTTCGCCGATACACGCTGTCAACATTACGAGGAACACTTGCTGATCTCGTAGGACGAAGAGGAGGAGCTCTTCGGGAAATTACTCGTGGCGAGAAAGTACACTAACAAAGAACTGTTGAAATTCGCAATATTTTTTTTGAATTTGATTCTCAATTCAAGAGACGTGAACCGTTACTTAATAGGTATTATATTAGAGCGCAGTTCTTCACCATTTTTTCTAACATTTTCGATTCCTCATAAAGGGTGGATTCCCAACTGTCCACACCAACTCATTTGAATTCACCTCCTTCATTTCCTCCGCTATCTTCCACGATCTGGCCTCGATGATCTTGTTTTCGAAAACCCTACGGCGCTCCCGAGCTCTAGTATAGATATCCCCACATTGAGGTGCTGTATGCGGTGTCGAAGCCCCACGGCCACCTCTACCCTTGGCACGTATCGGCGTCGCGAGAGCTCTTGTATTTTCTCGCCTGCAATGAGTAAGTTCGTAGTGGAAGCTTCGTTTTTCTCTGTTGAAGAGGCCGCAGGTTCGATTCCCGTAAACGTCATTTCTCTGCCGAAAAATATTTCAACACGTGGATTCACTGAACCACCTGCAAAATCAGTCTTGGTATTTTTCGCATGATCCCCGGCTCAAAGCCTATCGAATGTTATCTTGAATCAAGATAACATTCGATAGGCTTTGATCAAGATTCTTGATCAAACTGTAAAATTGTGCACGCACGCACATAGTGTCTCCGGTGGCTCCGAAACTCCCACCTCTGAGAGTATATCTCCGAATATGAAGCATTGGAATAAGGAGTCGCCTTCTTAGCCGTAGACCTGTTGCGATCCTCAACAACACTATGTATAGCTGAGAAATAACAACAACTAATGAGGAACTTCAACACGCGAACTCAAACACCTCCTTGTTGTTGTTGCCTCTCAACATTATCTGAGTCCTTCCCCAAGCTGAGCCTCCTCGCGATAGGTTTCACTCGGGCATCATGTGGTACGCCAACACTAGCCACTTGGAAACTTATTGGCGCTTCTTTTTTCCCGTACTCCCCATGTCGGCCGCTCAAGCTCGTACGCCGCTCCTCCTCCTCCACAACAGTGTCATAGTGAATAAAGTCATCATTCCCTTTATGGTCATCAGTACTCACTCGCTCCTCAGTAGGGAAATCTTTCCCCACCTTTACGGAGTGTATCTCCACATATTTCAATGGTCTTGGTTCCGACATCACCCTCCCCTCCCGACCGAATGGGCCTCGCCGTAATCGTGGAGTACCCACATCACCAATGATAGTGTTGTTGTTGTTGCCACTCTGTAGCCCAAGAATCGGTCTGTCGATTGAGAGCGTCTTATTCACGGCGCTCAAAACTGGCTTCCTGCGTGTACCATTTGAGCAATCTCGTGTAACACGTCTGACCTAATACGAAGGGTCCTGCATGCCCATCCTCCTCATGATGCTCTACTGAGATCGATAAGGCCCCTCCTCCTCCTCGTCCTTTCTGCCGACACTGAGTCATCACTCTCTGTTTAGCCGCTTGCTGCATCCTCCTATACCGCTCTTCTTTCGAAATCTCATCAACTACGTATCCACCCGAGTCGGGCGGGGGCATCAGCGCCTGTAATAGGGACGCGTGAGCTCTACTGTATGAACATACACAGTACTTCTTTATTCTCGCTCATTAACGATTTCTGTGCGGTACCAGGATCGGAATTGGCCGTACCTGGGGCAGTGTGGGAGGAATCTACGTTTCGTTTCCTCAGCTGAGCTCAGGAATTTCCTCACTATTTTTACGTTCGGGAAAAATATATAGAAATCAACGAGAATTTCCCAAAAATTTTTCATATCGCCACCTGAGGGCCTTTTTTCATGTGCCTTGTGTGAAAATTCTCACCGGAAACGGAATTATCTCCCAGAATGGTCCGTTGTATTTCCTCGTGTACAGCACTCAGCCGGTTCTGGAGTTCTGTCGTCTCCCAATTCGACAGATCCGTCTTGACGTTTGGCGATAGAGTTGCGAGAGGTGTGGTACAAAGTGATTGTTTACATGAATTCGTAATTTACTTTTCACTATACAGATAATAAATCAACTGTAAAGGACGGTGATACTCCTAATGAGATAAAAAAACACAACCTTTGTTACAATGCGGAATACACTCCGGCTCGACAATAGTTGATCCATCTTCCGAACACTCTTTAAAGTGTTGAGTAGCTATGTGCTTGCGTGCGGCAGATCCATTGCTGTTATCGGTAAAAGTGAGATCCACTACCCGGAAGCCAACATGACACCCCAACTCGTACACTCTACAATAGGCACCTGTTCGAAGTAGTTGCCTTCATAGACCTCACTACAGCAGGTGTTATTCCGATACGCAGTAGGTTACCTGCTCACGATCAAATGCTGTGATACCATGGAAGTATCGTATACCAAACTAAAGGGGGGACGAGGAAGAGGAGGACGCCAACCACCGCGACAAGTCGATAGTTGATATGTAGCGCCTGCCGTTGTCATTAGCACACGTCGCTGTCATGGAGTGACGTGGTGACAGTGCTTCCGAAGTACAACTTTCGCTGGCACCCCTCGTTGGGTCCAGAGTCATGTCACTTTTCATGACTCACCTGTAGTCGTAATCTCATTTCAATTCCATGAATGACCCTCGTTACGATACCCAACTTTCCTGTATACTCATCAGCTCACCTCGCCTTAGTGGATCACCCGAAGTGCTACTACAACAAGTGATCTACACTCTGTTACTGTATGAGGTGAAATGGCTGAGACGATTAACTCATAGCAATCAGGATAAGGAAACGTAATACACATGTGGCCGAGCACATAATCACTCCTTAAAGAAATGCTGGGGCAGGTGGATCTTTCCACTGATCACCTACAACCGGGAGCCAACACTTGGAAGCCGGGTTTAGGAGTGTATAGGATGATTACAATTTCCCGACCAGAAATATAAAGTGCGAACCAACCTATCGTTATGCGAAGCATAGTGGGAGTTTATCAGTGGCTCTTGAGATAGGCGACGATAGTTAAAATAAATCGACAATATTTCATATTTCACTGTCACGCTCTGGGCGCGCGGTAGGCTGCCACTTCATATTATTATCATCATCATCTTGCTAAAATCATATCAAACTTCAATCCCCTCGAAATTCGCACCCCTGTCCTACCACAGAGCACCGGCCTGCTATATTCACCACATCTAGAGTGTCCCGGACTATCAGCTGGCCTCCCCTCGATGACAACATTGTGCATTCCAATAAGCACCTAAAGACGAGGAGAGGAAAGTACCCAACTGTGTTGCCATCCTACCCCTTAGTGCCGGTGACTGAACTGATGTAAGGGGCAATGACAGTGTGACTGCTGCCGTTCACTGGGTCTTCAGGAATGCCATTCCATGGTGCAAAATATCTAACTTTGAATATTAAAAGTATTCCTATTACTATAAAGACCATCCTAATATTCCTATTACTATAGAGATCATCCTAATATTCCTATTACTATAGAGATCATCCTAATATTCCTATTACTATAGAGATCATCCTAATATTCCTATTACTATAAAGACCATCCTAATATTCCTATTACTATAGAGATCATCCTAATATTCCTATTACTATAGAGATCATCCTAATATTCCTATTACTATAAAGACCATCTTAATATTCCTATTACTATAAAGACCATCCTAATATTCCTATTACTATAAAGACCATCCTAATATTCCTATTACTATAAAGACCATCCTAATATTCCTATTACTATAAAGACCATCCTAATATTCCTATTACTATAAAGACCATCCTAATATTCCTATTACTATAAAGACCATCCTAATATTCCTATTACTATAAAGACCATCCTAATATTCCTATTACTATAAAGACCATCCTAATATTCCTATTACTATAAAGACCATCCTAATATTCCTATTACTATAAAGACCATCCTAATATATTATATCTCCCATCCCATCTCCCATATAAACGGGGCCATACCATGACCATATAATCAGAGAATAATATAATCCCTTTACTCACCTCGAGTACACTAATGTAGTCATCTCCTGTCGCTGTTCGAGGTAGCACATAACGCTAACTCCTCGTATAATATCATCCCTATGTGAATTATATAGCGTCCTCTCATCCTGATGCACAAGCTCGAGCCGCCTCAGCCTCGGGAGAGCTACCGGTTGAAGCGTCTTGATTCCTTCTATGCCTCGACAGATCACCAACAGCTTCTTCGCCTTGTACGACACAGCAACCTCCGTTACCTATTATCAACCATAACAACAACCGCACCATACTACTCTCGAGATAGCAACCTGGTCCATCGGCAGACCTAGACCCGAAATGATATCATAGGCCCATCGTGGGGAGCTGTCGGGCTGCCAGATGTCTTCCGGAGGGTTCCTTGGGAATTCAAGCCAATACAAGCCCTGTACATCAACTCTGGCGTCGCGTGTCACCACCTAACAGTGTCACCACCTAACAGTGTCACCACCCCAAACTGTCATAGCAGTTGCCTCCTCCTCACCAGTTCTCCTGAAGCCGTCTCAAACACGTACCTCTCGGGCGTGTCCTCCCCAGTGGAGGCGTTCAAGTCCTACCATAACCATGCATGGCGATTGAGAGGAAGGTGAGTTACATCCAAGCAGCGAGCCCCTGCTAGAGTAGCGTGGCCGCACAGGGGGACTTCATTCCTAACAGTGTTATATAGTACGAACATTCCACCAGTGTTGGTCCTACGTCGGGGTGAACCATCTAAGTGCATATCTTCCCGTAGATATAGGGCTGAGGAAAGCAGTCTCAGAGTGCCGTAATTCGGCAGCTATGGCTCGGTACGCCTGGCACGGCCAGTGTGGGAAAATACGCAACTACATGTGTCGGTGACATTATAAACATTTTGAGGAGTTCTCATTGGTTTCTATACATTCCTAGCCGACTTCCTATGTACAAGACTACTCACGGCTCATTGCTACCTCTTCCCTTAGCGATAGGCCCGGTGGGAGTACCACAACTCCTGCGGGGTTGCCAGTGAAGTTGTTGTTACTGCCACTTGAAACGAATGCATCGGCTACATAGACGGGTAAGGATACCATGCCGTTTGCGGACATGGTTTGAATCTTACCAAGATGAACATAAGATACCACCCGAGAATCGCTATTGATCCTCTCTGACTAACACCAACAGCTACTGCCAACAACATTGGATTTTCAATGATCATGGTCACCCCACACTGACATTGTCGTTAACCATCAGGGAACTCCAGAGATTCTATCTACAATCATACTCATAAAATCATCAACGTCTGCACACTTTATATGGCAGTATCAAATGTAGGTCAGGATATCCGATAAGCCCCAAGGTATCATATCCGGTGCTAACCCAAGGTTAACATTTGGGAAGGTCGCTCGCACCCGAGGTAGATGACGAAACGGGCAGAGTGTGGAAGATTGTACTGAGGTCACTGTTGTTGAACTCAATATGTAGGGAAGAGGGTTGACGCGGGTGCGTAACCACGCGTCAGTTAAGAATAAGGCATATGAATGCTGAAATGATGATAGAGTGATACTGACAGTTACATCATAGTGTTAGAAACTGCCATAACTAGCAGATCTCGTCGCTTAGCCCCTACGGCGGGGAATATTGTCGTGCATTCCGTGCAGTTCTGGTAGGAAAGCAATCGCTTGGTTTCGGAAGTTTAGTGTGGACTCCACAGCGTGGAGTAACAGTAGTCGGAGGTCTTGGTTGAGTAGAAGTATACTGTACATATGTGTTGTGTGTATGAAATGTTTAGAGAGTAAAGCGCTGTTAAATGATTTTCATACTAAGAAATGAGACTGAGATTCTGACTGAACTCGAGATGGTATGTAATGAGTAATAGTATAATACTATTAGTATTAGTATAATACCGTGTTTTTAATCATGATGACCACCGTCATTATGGTCATGCAACCGAAATCGGAGTAGCGACAACAACGAGTCGTTGTCAACGACTGCAATTTGCACGACCACTACAACCCATGCAGCACCGCCAGAAAGTAAGGTCATAATGAATAATGCTCGTTGTTAAAGTGGTAGTGGTGATTATGTTTTAGGGTTTTGTTTGTTCCGATGATAAGGCTTGATGACATGCTTGTTGTAATTAGGGTTGTTGTGCTTGAGGTGGGTATGGTGATAGCAGTGCAGCAGGTGAGCTCGCTGTTTGAGCGATACTGGGAGTAATTATGGTTGCGGTCGATGTTGTGGTAATTTTCGACTTTCTGTCTCTGTTTGTTCTCGTGGTGGTCAGTGTCGTCGTCGTTGTTGTTGGTGGTCTTGGTGATGGTGTTGCCTGTTTGTACTCCTCATGAGTGGTTGTCGTTGTGGTAGGGATCGCTTCCTTGCGTACGTGTACTGTTGTTGCTGATAGTCTTTACGATGGGAGTAGTCGTCATGCTGTGAGAGGTGTTTCGGTCTTCGCCGCAATGGTAGGCTTTGTCGGACCGCATCCGTGCAATGAGAAGAAGGAAAGAAATAATGATAACAAATGAATAATCGTAGTACCATCATACCAATGTACTTCATCAGATTGTAAAGTACTTTTTTCTATTATTGTATTTTTCTTTTATTTCTTTAAATTGTCAATTGTCCATTTTGTTATATTTTGTTTTTTGTTTTTGCTTATGTTTTCTTTTGCTTTTTTTCTTTATTCATTTTTTCTTTTTTTCTTTTTTCTTTTTCTCTTTTCTTTTTCTCTTTTCTTGTACACCACTTTTACATGATATTCGAATAGTGAAGTCGGAAATCATCCGTGTTGTACATATTGGTAGTTAGTAGTGCTTGTTTTCCATTTTATGTTGTAGTTTAATTTTTTTATTTCGTCATTCATATATATTTTCTCTTTTTTCAACGCTCTATTTTTTCATTTATTTTTGTTTTGTTTTATTTTATTTTTTACAACAGTATTACATAGTAATGCAATGGTAAAATCGTATATGGTGATAGCCCATAGTGGTTGCAGTACCGTACGGGGAGTGGTGGTCTTGATTGTAGTTTACGTTCGAAAGAGATATTACCTGACAACTGAGGAAACATCCACTATATGATAACAGCCTTCAACCAAGCAGAGCGCAGACTGCGCTCTCACTGAGTGAGATCGAACCGCTTCTAATATATTAGCAAAGCTATTTTACTATTGGCAAGCATGACGCAGTGAATTGTATGTATTTGCGAGCCATGGTAAGTGGATTGAGGAACGTAATGTAAGAGTGATGTTGCACGAGATGTTGGAATGTAGTGAGATACTGTATCCTCAGGTACTGCTTATGTGGAGATTTTTGTTAAACGTCTCTCTCTCTCACCACAGGGACAATGAGATACACACCGGCAGCGACAGCAAATAATAAGTGAATAATCATATTTAAATTCATGTTAAAATTTCAGGAAAGACGACATTCGTCTGACTATAAAAACTTTGATCCACAGCGAATTCCAAATCTCGTGGAGTGCCAACCCTCGATGCTGCTACATACAGGTGCTCATGAGAAAATGGCGGTTGAGGGAGATATATACCTACTTTCCCCAGACCTTGAGCTTTGTTTATAGTACAACAAAGCGAAGGGCGTAGAGGGAATTGCCTACGTTTAATTGAGAAAGGCAGATCTGTATCTGTCGGTGTTACATACTCTCGGTACCAACAGAATGTGTCCGGCGTAAGGGCCACCGAGAACCGTAACTTGGGTGAGTTTCACAGGATGACCAATGAATTGCCGAACAATGTATCTGGTTCCATTACAATGTCCGTTTCTTGGATCCAGTTTTCGAAGGAGGATGACCGGAGTATTGATTTTCAGTTGAAGAATGTGTGGAGGAAGAGTAACCATTGCTTATCCTATACCTATGAATGACGGTCCGTCAACCATAGGGTAGATTCAATGAGATACTTTGAAGTACGTAGGCGAATCTGAGTTAACTGAGTCCTCGAGAATATAACCAACTTGATTTTTAAACTCTATGAACGAGCGATAATCAGCTAAACCTCGCCAAGGTCTTATCTTCTTAGCAGCTATAATAGCTGCTAGTGAAAATAGTGAAATAGCTGAGCTATTTCACGCTATTCAATAGCTATTTCAATAGCTATTTCAATAGCTATTTCAATAGCTGATAGTATTGTTCAAAAGGGTGAAGAGCCGATAGCAGATAATCTGCCGGCGTGTGTTGTTGACAAGACTTGTACTATAATAGATCTCAAGGGGTTGGGATTGCAACAATTGGGAGTATTCAAATATGCTATATTATTGACATTTACACTACCTGGAACAACAGCCTCCCCAGAACCGAGGCATCACTTATTCTCCTCAGAGAAAAAGAAACAGACAGCCAGCCTCAGAGAGGGTGCTGCCTATGGACGTACGGACTGCACGAGCGCGTGCGCGTCTTCTACCGCTATCTTTAGCTTCCTCGCACGTGTAACAATGTTGGTACTCACGGAGCAACTCCATTGATATCCTGTGCTTCTGCGAATTCCCCTCCTAGGCCCTGTGTATTTCCTATATGCCAAAACGGTGCCGATACAATTGATGTTCGGCGTCTCCTATTAGCTGGAGGACCTATTAGCTCCCGACATTAGCTGGAGGAGTTACTCAAGCATACAGTGAGACTTGTTTTCCTAGACATCTGCTCAGACGAAGGCCTTATCATATATCATTGGTATAATACTGCATCATCGTCACCAATATGGCATATGCGTATTCTAGGCCCTGGAGTCTGGAGATGAGTTCCTCTGGGTGGGCGCATTCAAGCCTCTTCACGAATTGTGGATCATTATCCACACAGCCCAGGTGAATTGTAGGAGACCTGACTACACGAGTTTAAATCAAACTAACCCAAGACGTCGCCACAAGTATCAGAATACAATAAAGCTGAGCTCTTCTCACTTTTGACTGACGTGTTTTTGGGCGTACCTCCTATTGACACGTACACAGCATTGGTATTCGAAACTGTCAAGCATTGCGATTGCTGTTGATAACGTATCATGATATTTATCACCACACTTACAATTCTGATTAGCAGAGTATTTCGCCATCTTGTTTTCTAGTTGTCAATTCGTTCCGTTTGCGAGGCAGGCTGAAATGCAAAAGCCATTTTGGGGTTGCCGAGGTGATGACTTTTGGCTGCTCCTCTGCACTGGTTGGTGTCACACACACTGTGTCGTTATCGTCATGAGGTTGAGATGAAACGATCTGAGCATATCAACTGCACGAACTATCGAACATTGGCCAAAACACTGCGTTTTTGAGCTCACCTCGGAATACCACTGACACTTGTTTGGTGAAGTTCGTGAGTGTGGGCGATGATGCTCTCGAGACGCCTATATCTCATGATTGCTGATAGTCGTCATGTGGCGAACTCTACCATTGGGATGACAGATAGTGAAGCAGCGGCCGATATTCACTTTTCTTGCATTGGAGAATGATTCAGATTCTGGGGCTCGACTAAATATGGAGAATTCTTTTTTCGATTAGATTCATGTCGTGATCAGATTCTTGTGATAATTCTTGGAACTTGAGTCTTTTCTTTCGACCCGGCATGAATTGATGTCGGTTGTTCTCCCCGACTTGTTTGCTTCTGCTAAACCCGTGGTCTTCCAGAAGAGAGAAGCTCCGCAGAAGCCTGTTGTGCTGGTATTGAGATCGTTCGAAGGTCGTTCGGAGGCCGAACTCGAGCCGCCCTCAACCTTGTGAATTGGTGGCCCGGCGTATGGGTTTCCGGCTCAAGTTTAATCTTCTGGCCGGAGCCCGTACTCATGTATCATAATGCTCGTTATTGACGAGCAGCACATGGTACATAGCGACGTCCATCTAGTCAAAGGCGCCGGCTTCACGCCATTTGCCAATGGGGAGGTCTTGGGGGCCTTCTTTCTTCTTGGCCGCAGCCTCGACGGCTGCTTCACTTCTTGGGTAGCCTGGACGGCTAGTGTGCAGGGGGACTTCCCGGTTTTTTACAGGACATACAAAGTTATCAATTGTTGACCGGGGGCACTTGCGTCGAAGCACTGCATGACAGCAAGGCACAGTCGATTGAAGGGCTTACGCCGCTTCAAATCCGCCACCACCCGATACAAATTAGATGTAAAGCCGCCAGGGACCTTCTCACTAGCCGTGGTAAGATACGGACATGATTGAAGGTAACGGCGAGCATCCCTCACAGCGGCTCCACAGCCGCACTCAGGAGAGGTAGCTGTCCCACATCTACACCTTTTCCCGTGCAAGTTTGACAAGTGAGCAGACAAGAATGACAATGTTACCATCAAGAGTGACAATGAGAATCCAAGTTTGTCACTTTTCTATCTTGTAACAACCAACATTGACAATGAGAATCCAAGTTTGTCACAATCTAAATTTGTTGCAATCAAGATTGACAATGAGAATCCAAGTTTGTCACTTTTATATTTTGTAGCAACCAAGTTTGACCGTGAGAATTCATGTTTGACACTGGCAGAATATATTACAATCAAGAATGACAATATTCCACACGAGTTTGACAATACGCACACAAGTTTGACAATACACATCCAAGTTTGACATTGAAGTGATCAAAGCCTATATCAAGGAGAAGCTGAGTGAGAGGGACCCGATAACAGATAGGCATAGAGCTGAAGAGCAACACATGTTCTTATACCCGTACCGGGAAGATATGCTGCGAGGAATGTGTGATGATGCTATGTAAAAGCTTACCACTGACAAGATAGGAGCCGTGTATAGGCTATCGGATACTTGGGAACAAAGGGAGTCAAGGGGTCGCTTTTTGAATTCTTTCGATGTCATCTCAAGTTTACATAGAGCTCTCGATGACTCGGGAGCCTCCTTACTATGTAATGCGTGTGATTTTTCAAGTGGGCAATCAGTTTAAACCGTATGTCAACATATCGAGTCGAAGTGTCAAACTTGGACGTGTATTGTCAAACTTGTGTGCGTATTGTCAAACTCGTGTGGAATATTGTCATTCTTGATTGTAATATATTTTGCCGGTGTCAAACATGAATTCTCATTGTCAATCTTGGTTGCTACAAAATAGAAAAGTGACAAACTTGGATTTTCATTGTCAATCTTGATTGTAACATATCTCGATTATGACATACTTGAATTCTCAAAGTCAAACTTGATTGTAACAGAATTGAATTGTGACATACTTGGATTCTCATTGTCACTCTTGATAGTGACATTGTCATTCTTGTCCGCTCACTTGTCAAACTTGCACGGGAAAAGGTGTAGATCTGTGACGTGGGATCGAGGCTCTATTAGAGCCGCTCTACCCAACACAATAACACTGCTGCCGGAGTCACTTCCCTAGTGACCCACAACGACGAAGTAGCACCGTTACAGTGTTGTAAAACACTACGAACGCCATGAACATCTAGGACGCACGTGCTAACCTGTAGTGAGTAGCATACAACAAGTCTCTAGGGTGAGCGAATACCACAAACAGGTAAGTCGGGGGATTGGGACGTTTCCGATACGTCCGTTCTGGCTACACCCTTCTCTGCACAGCAGGCTGCTGTGCGCAGCGGTTGCGCTGTGGCCGAAGGTTGGCTGCTCACGATGTGCGCAGCCAAACATTTGCCAGTCAGACGCGGGAGCTGTAGGTAGAATATTCATGGCCCATGAATCATGAGGCAGCAAAGAGCATTCTTGCGAGTTTCTAGTTACAAGTATCGCGTTTAGACAGGGCCAGACTCCCATACTGGGAATCCCGGTAGTTAGAGCTATCACATGGAGCTATTCTAGGATAGGCATGCCATGAACGCACACATTACCACGTGAATTCAAGCTTTCCGAAATCAATCTCAGGTCACAGAACTTCAATCACAACCACACTCTAGGACCTAGTCGTTGACGTAGAATTCCCCGAGTACACTGTACACGGAGAACCAGCCAATCCACACCGCCCGTTCGAATTTAGCTTCTTTATTTTCCGCTCATACTGTAAACAGGTCGCCTCTGTGTGAATTGCAATTCACGAATTCTGTGAACGCGCACATCCGAATCCTCCCCCACCCATAGAGTACGCATATGATGTGATCATGATCAATATAGTGAGGCTTTTGACAAAGCAGATACCCTACAGTGTAGGGCTTACACCAAGCTCCACTGTGCGCTCGGGTCTAACCTCTCCAGCTGATACCAGGTCTTGTTGAAGCGAAGGAGCGACAGGAGGCTCGGGAGCGAACATCAACGATATTCGCGTTGCTATCCGCTCCAATTTGAAATGTAAGTGCAGTACCATAGATCGTTGATGGAGACTCCCTAGAGTTAGCGCCTTAGCATAAAATGGGAGCAAATAGTCAGTGAGTCGTTGCTATAGCGTATTTGCGTGATATACGTCATGTTCTCCTTCACTCTCCTGATCTCTTCGTTCATTGCCTTGGGCAGCGTGGAAATCCCTGAACAGTAAGAAGAGCTACGGCTTCTTGATTGAACTCGAAGTGATTGTTCGATTAGGTTTTATAACGAGAGCATGGGCAAGGGCCAGGATATTAGTGAGGGAATCATTTCAAATGGTTAATTTGCGATCCTGTAGTTATTACTATATACTCATGTCAGATATGGATGGACTAGTAGGGAACACAAATCTGCCATACTACGGCAAACCCACAGGTTGCACTTGCTCCGGAGAAAAATTTGTCGGGAGCTGTGAGTGCCCGAACAACCAGGACCTATTCGCCCTTACCGTAGGCTGCTCAGTTGATTGCGCGCATAAAACTTCTCATGTAGGGCGGTTATAGTACTTGCTACGCGATCTGCGCTAAGCCATGCGCACAAGCCTCGGATTGTCCTCCGGCTCCTAAGAGTGCCAGTGTCCATATCAAGTGCGTCTTGGGTCGCTGCCTTCTTGACTGTTCAGGCTACGACGGTGTAAGTTCTACTCTGATTTCTCTGGATACGTAGCTTGTCCCCTTCAGATTTGCGCAAAGGAGGACGGCTCCGTTTGTTTCAGATACCGTATGGGACCGGCAAAGGGAACCATGTGTTCATGGTCCTTTTGAGAACTCATGAACGAACAGTCCGACTCGGACTCTCTATTGCGGATCTTCCACAATTCTCTACTAACCGATTACTCAAGATACGCAGTGACTATCTTTTTGAACGCTAATTGAGAGTTACGATGGTTTATTCTTTTCATTCGATCAGTATGGTTATCCAATTTCAAGAGTTAGGGATAAGAGTTATCACGAAGATTATTTGGCTTAGGGAACCATGTGTCTATGGTCCTTTTGAGAACTCATGATCGGACAGTCCCATTCGGACTCTCTATTGCGGATCTTCCACAATTACCTACCAACCGATTACTCAAGATACGCAGTCAGTATTTTTTTGAACACTAATTGAGAGTTACGATGGTTTTCCTTTTCATTCGATCAATATCTTCATTCAATTTCAAGAGGTAGACATAAAAATTATTACAAAGGCTATTTGACTTAGTAAACTTTCATGTGGATGGTTTGTGTTGGTCATACAGTGAACTAGTGCCAGTGATAATGGCTTGACAATATACGAATGATTCATGCATCATCTCTATGACTAAAGGGGCCAATCGGGGAGCCTCAACTTCCGAGTTCAAGTTCCAAAAAAGGTGACTTTCCCGTTCTCAGATGAGAATAACAGATTGGGGTGGAAAATTAATCCCCGAATTTCTAGTTTTGCTTGGAAGTCGTTTATACCACAGTAGTGAGGCTTCCTTACCACTTTGAAACCACCTCGATGAGGACTTTTGGCTCCTCTGCACTCGTTGGTGTGTCACATACACTGTGTCCTGACCGTCATCATGGATGCATAGGTTGGGATGATATGATCTGAGCATATCAACTCATCGGATTATCGAACACTGGCCAAAACGCGGTGTGCTTCGAACTCGTCACGGAATACCACTGGCACTGGTTTGGTGGTGAAGTCTGTGAAATAAGAGCAATGATGGTCCGAGGCTCTTTTGTGATTGTTGATGGTCGTCGTCTCGCGTTGGAATCACAGATAGTAGAGCAGCACGAATACAGTAAACGATATTCACCTTCCTGTTACTGGGAAATGCCTCAGATTCTGGGCTTCGTCAAAACAACTTCTCTTCTCTATTCTTGTCGTAATCTGCTTCTTGTGATAAGTCTTGGAACTATAGTCTTCTTGTTCCGAACCGGCATGAGTTGATGTCGGTTGTTCTCCCCGACTTGTTTGTTTCTGCTAAACCCGTGGTCTTCCAGAAGAGAGAAGTTCCGCAGAAGCCTGTTGTACTGGTATGGAGATAACTACGAGAGAACCACGTTACATCAGAGTGCTTCAGTTGCCTCCGTTGAAGGTTGCGTCTGCTGCTACGAGCTTGAGCGACCAGAAGAGAATGCAAGAAGATACTGGTACGAAGTCCCGTTCGATGTCACAGCCGATTGGGGGCAGCCGAAGGAGGAAAACAATTGGTCTCTGTGGGCCGCTGGAGTTGTCTCCACTGCCACGAAGACGCCCAGAGCTACCTCTTCGTCGTGGCACTGTCACCAGATCACGGCATCGCGATGATGTTAGTGAAGACTCTCATTTCGTTCCGAAGCCGCCGGTGCCAAAGTTCTCGGGTGGTGGAGACCACCGTGGTCGATCCCCTGTTAGTGTAATTAGGCTGATTTGAAATATCGTAAACTCTACTCGGTAGGACCCTCAAGTAGTCGATGCTCGGGCAATAACACGGCATAGTCTAGAGAGTGATCAAGCTGTAGCAAGGAAGTCCAGTGCAGAGCCTATTACTATATTGTCACCAGTAAAAGGACGGAGGACTTTGTCTCTACCCCCTATACCTGTTGCGGCACGCATCTCTGCTGAAGCTATCGAGAGGCGGAAGCGACTGGCCGAAGAGGAGGTGGGGCTCAGCAACTCTCTCGCCCCTATATGAGGTCGCCTGGGAAATCGGTGGCCTTAGGTGGCTATAGCGAAGGCAGCCGCCTTGTCACACCTCTATTTCACTTTCGCGTTCACGAAAACAGCAGATGGCCGGAAGGTTCCTCTACAGAACAGGTCAGCAAGTTGGAGGTGCATTGTGACGGCAAGAACTGTTGAAATAGCTTTGAGGGGAGTGCATGCTTAGGCACAGCGTCGTTCTCAAGCTCCACCACCTGAACACTTTCGTGGCATCACCTATAGCAAAACGTTTCAATCTACGGTGAGATACTCTGACGGAGCCGAGCAGCGACAATGTCTCTTTGGTCGAATTGGTAGCGAGAGTTGGCATATAAAACCCTCCCTACTTTGCCGAGTACACAACACCCATATTGTTTGATAAGAACGTCGAGTGAAATCGAATAAGTCGCATCAATCGGACAGTTACTCACATCTGTCGGAGCAGCCACCAGACGCCAAGAAGGCTGGGGTCACCATTCGAGAAGTATCTAAGAAGCCAAAACAACAAGAGGAAGTCGATGAACGTGGCAAGGCGAGAAGCTCTAACTGAAGCCTTCTATGTAGACTGCGAATGCTGTTAGAGTACCATACGAGAAAGGCGGAGCGAAGCAGTTGGCAGTAATGCTCCTATCGATGTTGAGAAGGTCGAGGCCACGCCGAGGTGGGGGTTTCTTACCGCGCCATAGACGCGGTGCTCCTGGCAGATACTTGAATCATATTAGAGTCCGTATCCGATCGATGAGCAATCCGGAGCTTGGAGACCGTATGCTCTCTGACTCAACCTTAATGGCAATACTCTTCCATGAGATTGCGCACTTGAAACATATGAACCATGGCTTGGGGTGAGACCAATCTGCTGCCACGCCTGGTGCAAACAAAGTTCAAGTTGAGATTCGCGCCTCGAATAATTGGGATTCTCAAAGATTACAATAGTTGACAGAGGAAAATGTTCCTACGAATCATGCCCTCAGCCGTCTAGTACAATCGTCTGCTGAGTACTTCATTGTTCAGGTTCATGCGTTTCCTCAGAGAGGTTTACCTTTATGCCACAGACGAGCTGAAAGTATTCCGAGTTGGCATGCCCAATGAATTGCCGAGTCCCTGGTCTTGGGAGGTGACCCTTCACCTGACCCGTCTCGATTGGACCATCGACTCAGAGACGAATTTACGATACGGGTGGTCGTGTGAGTGAAGAAGAACTTGTCGGAGAATTCGAAAGGACACACACTGAAGGCTCCTCGGATCGGACCAGAGCACCTGGAGACATCAGCGCAGAGGTCGGAGTCACAGAAGCTTGTGTTGACCTGCCAACGGCATCCTTATCGACTACATGTAACTGCTAATTCATCATGCATGCATGTAAATGCTCAATACCGTCTTCTATTGATTGTGTAGGGCATTGTGTAATGAGTATGCTCAGACCAGATGAAACGGATCGATCAGACGTCCTAAGAGGCATCAGTGACATAGTTGGCGTTGAGAAGTCTCACCAGCCGGCTCAGTGCACCGATCAACTAGGCAGTATTTTCATCATTTTTAAGACCAGGCATGCGAACATATTTTACCGTCGTTGGCTTATCTACAGTGATGGGCGCCATATGGCCAGCTGCTCCTGAGCCCCCACGGCTCGTGGTCTCCTCTCCTGGTCAGATGGGGGCGGACTACCACACTTTGCAATGAAAGAATTACAGGGACTTCGTATCGCCTATAGTTCGTCATTGGCTTAGCCGGGCTCGTGAGAGTCCATCGCGGCTTGACTATTGTCACTAGGTAAGATAACGATAATAACACCACCATTGCCGACATACGCTGTCCAAGTTGAAGTCCTATCCAATGATTGCGACGGTGGTGCCATCTTCCGGACCGTGTAAGGCTTTCTACACTCATTGCCTCCCTTGCCGTCCTGAGTGGTCCGATCGAGGTATACGGGCCAGTCGAATATCGAATACACAGTAGGAGGCCTCCCGATCAACGCGCTGTGTTTGATGCGGGCTCGCGCGATAGGGTTGGACGATGATGGATTCACCCCATTGTAAGCCTCAGTGCGGTCGGTAGACGTATAAGGGGCCTGAACAGATACAGCCCGGATAGTTATGAAGTGAGCTTCTTTGCATCGTCGGTGCCGCTATGGGGCACCATGGAAGTGAATCGAACCCGTGTGGGCATTGATTCAGTGTTGCTGAGCTGGGACCAGCCAGATGATGGTGGCAACCCGATACACACATACAGACTGTATAGACAATGCTCAGCTCGGTGATTGCATTATTCCAAAAGGTATATGAAGGAAGGCGTCATTGGGGACTACGGCTTGCTCTATGATGGGACGGGGTACCCTACCGTGAGAGAGTACTTAGTCACCGAGCTAAAGTCAGTGTTGGAATATATGTTCGCTTTTCTCAGCTGAGTTCAGGAGTTCCTTATTCAGAACTTTACATACGAATTAGGCAAGAAGTGTACAGAAATCAATAAGAATCTCTCTAAAATTTCCTCAGAATTTTCATATTCTCACCAACACATGTAGTTGATATTATGTGCATATTACCCTACACTAAGGGGGTGGGCTCCGTCATGAAACACGATATTACCTTCGTTCTGCCTCCTTTCTCGCGAGACTGTCTTTGTATAGTCTCGAACGGTGGCCCAGAAGTTTTATGTGCAGTATTGATGAAGTTGTGCTTACTATCTCGATGAACACCCCCGCACCATTTTGTATGGTAGGCCCTACGTCACCTACAGCTTCCGTCTCTATGCGAGCAATACAGTTGGAACATCTAGGCAGCTGGAGGCGTTCTATACTGTCCAGAGCGAGATCGGAGGCGATCCGAGCTACCTCACTGGGAGCTCATACACCTTCCCCCTACAACTCAGTGCTGGAGTCGCCGATCATCAACTTCGCATACAAGTGAGTTACCCACATGTCTCTGTCAAAGGCCTATTTTTAATAGGGTGTCCACCCGATAACAGGGGCACTGGAGTACCTTGGTGGTAACTGCTTGATTAGTGAAGATTCTACCTGTCTATCAGGTGGGTTTCTTCTCCTCCTCCTTCTTATGGGGCTACCCTGGGTCCCTTCTCAGGTCGTATGTTCGTCGCGTATCTCGAGCCCGTCTGTGAAGTGGATGTAGCCAAGGCGTTATGCGAGCCTGTTTCTGAGGCCAATCCAAGGTGCAGTGGGGATTCAAATGTATCAATCCTCAGATTGTCCATTGCTAGGTGGACGTCACCACGCTATGATACTACGGAAACACCCTCGTGGTGGCGGCCAATACGAGCCACCGACTTGGGCAATGGACAGTATGACGTAACAATTACTGGTAGGTCTATTACTATGTTGGATGGTCATCGGATTGCTTCGTCTTTCAGGTTACCGTCCTGGTAATTATTCCCTCATCTTGCAAGCCCTATGGCAGTATGGTCTGTTTGGAAACTACTGGGATAACTCGATCTACTTGGGTTCGCCCATAGAATCGAGAGTAGATCCTGTTATCGACTTCAACTGGGAAGCGGGATCAGTGGCGCGTTGGTCTCCCGACTTCGTGTCCGTAAGGTGGGGCCGTAC